ATATATATATATATATATATATATATATATACATACATACATATATACATATATACATACATATATATATACACTCACCGGCCATTTTATAAGGTTAGTACCGGGTTGGACCCTCTTTTGCCTTCAGAACTGCCTTAATTCTTTGTAGCATAGATTCAACAGTGTTGGAAACATTCCTCACAGATTTTGGTCCATATTGACATGATAGCATCACGCAGTTGCTGCAGATTTGTCAGCTGCGCATCCATGATGAGAATCTCCCGTTCCACCACATCCCAAAGGTGCTCTATTGGATGGAGATGTGGTGACTGTGGAGGCCATTAGAGTACAATGAACTCATCGTCATGTTCAAGAAACCAGTTTGAGATGATTTGAGCTTTGTGACATGGTGCACTATCCTACTGGAAGTAGCCATCAGAAGATGAGTCCACTGTGGTCATAAAGGGATGGACATGGTCAGCAACAATACTCAGGTAGGCCGTGGCATTTAAAAGATGCTCAATTGGTACTAAGGGGCCTAAAGTGTGCGAAGTAAATATCCCCCACACCATTACACCACCAGCAGCAGCCTGAACCACTGATACAAGGCAGGATGGATCCATAGTTTCATGTAATTTACGGCAAATTCTGACCCTACCATCTGAATGTCGCAGCTGAAATTGACTCAGACCAGGCAATGTTCTTCAGATCTTCTATTGTCATATTTTGGTGAGCCTGTGTGAATTGTAGCCTGAGTTTCCTGTTAGCCGACTGGAGTGGCACCCGGTGTGGTCTTTGGCTGCTGTAGCCCGTCTGCTTCAAGGTTCCACGTGTTGTGCGTTCAGAGATGGTGTTCTGCATACCTTGGTTGTAACGAGTGGTTATTTGAGTTACTGTTGCCTTTCTATCATCTCCATCCACTCTGCCCATTCTCCTCTGACAAGGCATTTTCGTCCACACAACTGCCGCTCACTGGATATCTTCTTTTTCGGACCATTCGCTGTAAACCCTAGAGATGGTTGTGGGTGAAAATCCCAGATCAGCAGTTTTTGAAATAATCAGACCAGCCCATCTGGCACCAATAACCATGCCACGTTCAAAGTCACTTAAATCCATTTTCTTCCCCATTGTGATGCTCGCTTTGGACTTCAGCAAGTCCTCTTCACCACATCTAGATGCCTAAATGCATTGAGCTGCTGCTATGCGATTGGCTGATTAGCCATTTGTGTTAACAAGCAATTCAACAGTTGTGCCTAATAAAGTGGCCGCTGAGTGTATATAAACATACTTCTAAATCTTTATATTGCAAAAATGTATAGATAATTTCAAACATCGGCTTAACATTCTAAATGTGTTCATTTCCTGTTGTACATTAACAGCTGATCATATGACAGGAAGGAAACACGGACACTAGTTATATGCTAGATATAAATGTACTGTATGTCTACGGTGTTTTAAACTCTTTTTCACGAAGTTGATAGTAAAAACAAATATTACTCCAGTCTTCATAGATCAGACGTCAGTCAAACTGCTTCTGTTCAAAAGCGCAGAGAATTTGCACCGTATTTGCGCACGTGACTGATTGGACATGACACCGATATACAATTAAATGTTTATTGCGTAAAGACAATCAGTAATGACCATAGAGTGTATATAAGAAGGTAATGACATGCTAGAATGTACTAGATGGAGCCCAGGATGAAGACTGCTACTTTAAGATGAGGCTTGTAATGGCAGAGCAGAAAAAATAAACACCACGTGGTTAGGAGTTAACGGTGCCTTCAGACCTGCAGTCAAACACTTTAACCAACTGAAACAGAAAAAACGCGGGAATAAATATTAGACCTCAGTGGGCACGGCTGTCTGTCAATAGGGGTAGTTGAACCAAACCTCGCGCTCTCAGCGGCCAATCAGCGACAGATTTACCGGCACAGGTACGTGCCGGTCCATTAGAGCCAGAGCATCAGCTGTCATCTTATAGGGCATTTCCGTTAAATACCAGCCTTTCCACCAAGGGGTTGGCCACAAACGGGGTTCATGCTATTCAACAATGCAGAGGCCAGTTTACACTGTCATGGAGGAGAAACCTTTATTATTTTTTTTTTTTTTTTTTAAAGACCATTAAAATAAATACTATACAGAATCCAATGTAGAAAACGTGATGCTTCTATCTCAAAAATGTTAACAATTCCGCAGTCATCTTTAAAAAATAGCACTGACTATACACCTCAAAACATGACTGTTCTACACACCAAACCCCACGATGACAGGTATTGTAATGATAGCTCAGAGAGAGGGGATCTCTATATACTTCTGTAGTTTGGTCCTTTCATATCAGATACCCCCACTCGTAACATTTTTGGCGAGGTAGGTTACAAAAAGACACCTGCCACTGTATCAAAAATCCAATATTGTGTTGAAAAATAAAATCTAAATGAACAATAATGTCAAAAGAGATGAAAATCCAACCAGGTTGTCAGGGTCGAGAGGCAAAGTCTCCACAGAACTCACCGTTGTTTTTGCCTCCGAACGTCTGTGGCCACCAGTCAGTCTTCAACTGAATGCTACTGCACACGTGACTGTACAAGTCAAGCGCTATGTACAATAGCAATTAAAAATATAATATATATATATGAAACAGCAGTAAAAGGATCAAAACGGTAAACAACTCATTCATGAAGGATTTTACTATATAGGTCTTTTTATTGAATATGCCCTGTGTACTCTAGCCCCAGAAACCTCTTAACATGAGCATGGATGGGAGTTAAAAGGCTGTTTTCAGTACACTGAAAGTTGCTTAAATACTGATCTGGTCAAATGCAGCGCTTCCCATTTCATTTAGAGCATCGGTGCGTTTGAGTCCAAACTGAACTGTAGTCTAAGCCACTCCATGTCCGGGTGCAAATTATAGCCGCATTTCACAAAAGCTTTGGGTTAGCGTCGTGCACGTTATCAATTAAGCCGAGGTACACATTTGTTTTTTGAAGCTTTTGCTGACAGAACTAGAATATTTTTAAACCGTAACTTTGTTGTTTTTTTTTTTTTTTTTTTTTTAAATGCGCTTTTGGAAACGCGGTTATGTTTTGCATGTGTAGGAACCAGTTACAAACTTGCTTGTTTGGAGGTTAAAAGTCCTTTTGTTTGCAAAAACATCAATGTCGAAATGAATGCTTTAAGATTTAGAGGGATTAGCTAAAGTAAGAATTTAGGTGCCAATGAGGGGTAATGGATTTTGGCAAGCAGATGAAGCAGGTCAGTAATTCCATCCTTCCAAAAAATGATGTCAACGGTAAGGGAGGAACAATGGCCACATTCTTCCTTCCCTTAGAATGTAAAGGGTAAAGTCATGGTGGAATTTAGCAAAAGAACGTTCTTAGAATTCAGATCGTATAAGAAAACAAGGTTTTTACTGCTAAAAAGAGTGGGGAGAGGGTGGACGACGGGCACGTGGAGTCTTCTAGATGAGATCGGCCACATTCATGGGCATCTCCTCCACGGTGGTGTTGTAGAATGTCTCAATGTCCCTCAGGGTCCGCTTGTCATCCTCGGTCACCATGTTGATGGCAACTCCCTTCCTGCCGAAACGACCACCCCGACCAATCCTGATGGAAAATAATTGAATAAATAAATCGTACTAAGAAAAGCGCTGGCAGCTCCAGACAGCCAGAGTATTTCGAGAACAAGTCACACAGGATGGGAAACGCTCCCAGGATATATGGATTGCGACTGAGATAATTTGTTCTTTGCACTGCAGGTCTCGTCTTACCTGTGGATGTAGTTTTCCCTGTTGGTCGGCAGGTCGTAGTTAATGACGAGAGACACCTGCTGGACATCAATACCTCTAGCCTGAGCAGGAGCAGAGCCACCATTAGCATCCATACAGTACAGAGGAGTGACAGGACTGAGGTCAAGCAGAGACTTTTCTGTTTCAGGTCGACATCCAGACCACGTGAACCACAAAGAACCTCATCTGACCCAAAGTCTACAGTACGTTTTAATCTCATACCATTTGGTTGAACACAGCCAAAATGTCAATCAGCTGCACACACTTTCAGAACAACTGAATCTATAAAGAAAAAAGGAATCAATCCCTGGAGTGGTTCAAGAACTCTGGACTTCCAGATTGATCAGCAGCAACTACTAGTAAGTAGATTAGTTAGATTCTTGTGTACCAGTCAGAAGATAAAATCTAAACATTTGAAGGGTAAGACCGAGTGTAATCCGCCAATTAGTTGTCAGTCAAGGACTTGAGCCCCGCTACAGTGGAGGGCAGATAGGCTTCTCTACCAAGGAACATTCAGTCCTTCACCAACACTACAGATGGGAGGAGAGGGAACCCTGGACTGCACACAGTACTGGTCTGAGATTGTCGGTGTAAAAAGCAGATATTGTACGTACCAGCAGGTCAGTGGTAATGAGGACTCTACTGGAGCCAGAGCGGAACTCCCTCATGATCAAGTCTCTCTCCTTCTGGTCCATGTCACCGTGCTGAAAGACGAGAGAGCCGCATACAAGTGAGACAAAGACGTGTGTTACACATCTAGAACAGCCACAGCACTGGACACAATCAGGGTTTTTCACACTCCTTGACGTCATTGCATTCTTTTACCTACAACCGTGTAGTTTATAGCCTTAACCCGAGAATAACAGGGCTTTTACAGGCTCAAGTAAACATGCAAAATCCCAATTTAAAAAATGTTATCTTGTTAAACAACTCTAAATGATGGTTAGATAGGTGGAGGCCCTTACCAGAGCAGACACGGTGAAGTCTCTGGCGTGCATCTTCTCGGTCAGCCAGTCCACTTTCCTCCTTGTGTTGATGAAGATGACCGCTTGTGTGATGGTCAGGGTTTCGTACAGGTCACACAGCGTGTCCAGCTTCCACTCCTGAGGACCATCACCAGGTCAGACACAGCAGTCTCAAGCACGTTGTACATCTGGGCACATTACACTCTGTTGCCCATCGTCAATTGCTAGCACAACTAGCTTAAACTAACGTTTGGACTGTAGTGCTTACTGAGAGGTTCTTAAGCAGTAAAACAAAACAGTTAAACAGCAACCCAAACTACATCTATCAAAAACAACACAGGGGACTCATGTTTGCTGACAAAACTCCATTTCAACTAGAAACCGTTTCCCCACCTCTTTCTCCACGTTGATGTAGAACTGACGGATGCCCTCAAGGGTCAGCTCCTCCTTCTTCACCAGGATCCTGACAGGTTCACGCATGAACTTCTTTGTGACTTCCAACACGTCGGCTGGCATGGTGGCCGACAGGAGGACAACCTGAACACAGACGAGGGAGACTGTTAGAACTTCAGACTCAGCTGATCAGTGGATCCAGTCATCTTAATATACAATCTAAACATTTGAAGGGTAAGACTGAGTGTAATCCGCCAATTAGTTGTCAGTCAAGGACTTGAGCCCCGCTACAGTGGAGGGCAGATAGGCTTCTCTACCAAGGAACATTCAGTCCTTCACCAACACTACAGATGGGAGGAGAGGGAACCCTGGACTGCACACAAACCTGACATTTGTTAGTCTGATGTAAATGCTTAGTTCTTACCTGTGTGCTGCTTGCAAGTTTCTGGAAAATCTCATAGATCTGGTCCTTGAACCCTCGACTAAGCATCTCGTCAGCCTCGTCCAGCACAAACATTTTGATGAACTTGGAAGCTGCAGGAAAATGGCATAAATGGATCAGAACACATGTTTAATGCTCTCATGCACTTGGTCAGTGTTGATTGCTGCCGGGTGCTGTATTCAGAGTAGTGAAGTATGATCACGTCTCTGTAGCCCCGCTGTGCCGAGGACTCGGGCCGACAAAACGCCGACCAGCGCAACAACACAGCAGCGGTTTACAGAGTCAGCTGACACGCATGGGTTTCATCATTATACAGCAGGTCTCCTCTGATCAACAATAGAGTTTTATTCAGCGCACATGGAGTGACTAACTGATTTCACAAGTTTCTCTCCCACTCAATTCCCCATGCAGCAGGCCACATTTCTAGAATTGCATGTTCAGAGTATTTGTCCATAGTTATATAAATAATATGAGTCAATTGTCTGTAAATTGATTTGAGAAACAGATTCTGTGGGAACTTACAGAGGTTTTTGCGATTCAACATGTCAAAGACACGGCCGGGGGTTCCCACCACAATGTGAGGAGATTCAAGCTGGAGCTTCTGGGATTCACTGCGAACGTTGGTCCCTCCGATACAGGCATGGCAACTGGCTCCCATGTAGTCACCTAGGGCCAGCACCACCTTCTGGATCTGAATTTCACAAAAAAAAAAAAAAAAAAAAAAAAAAAAAAATTCAAAGAAACATATGTTAGTTATAAATGGCCTAAAACTGTAAATCCATGAATTGCCAACACTCAAACAAAGCACATCATATGTTGCCTGAGGTTTTACCGTTTGTCTCTATGTTGTACTTATTTTCTCCCAGGTAGACCTTTGTCATGTCTGGCTTTGGCAGTGCAGCTTAACTGCATGAGTCACACCAATATTCAAATTATGATCCTTTAAGTGGTTTTGAGGTGCTGTATCGAATAGATCAGAGATTCATTCATAACACATTTTCAAAAAACATTTGAATGTTGTCCATCATATATAAACCTGATATTTTTGCGCAGTTACAGATAAAGCTACACGCATCAGTTTCCCCTATATTCATAGAATTATGAGCACCTGCTGCTATAATTTCACACCATAATCTTTATCCTCTGTTCCACACACGGCGAAAAGAAGAGAGAGGTGAAGTGAAGTTAACTTCAACCTAACCTGAAAAATCACTATTGAAATTGAGGGTTGTGCTTCATAAATTTTGTTTCCCAAGAGGGATGACATCTTAAAATATGACTAACATTTAGAGCATCATTTCAAAACACCAATAGCCTTTGAATCTATATTTAAAACAGAAATTTGATGCAGCCCTAGTTTTGAGCATATCAAGACTCATTCCATCAGGGTTAATCGTCTGTATACATGATCTTACTGTTGCAAGTTAACCATAAAACAAGAAGTCATTACCTATGATACGACTGGTGCATGGTGCTGTGCAAGCAGTGGTTTTAATTTGAAACCAAACGCAGCACATTGAATCAGAACAAGACATTAGTAGATTGGGCACATAATTCGTTACTTTCTCCTCTTGAGAACCCTCCAGATGTTTGATACACAAGTATGCCGATGATGACGCCTTAAGAAGTGGGACGGGTGCTGTATTCAGAGTAGTGATGTTTGATCACGTCTCTGTAGCCCCGCTGTGCCGAGGACTCGGGCCGACAAAACGCCGACCAGAGCAACAACACAGCAGCGGTTTACAGAGTCAGCTGACACGCATGGGTTTCATCATTATACAGCAGGTCTCCTGACTGTTAGTGGCTGTCACCATGCATTAGTATTAACGGACAGACATTAGGTATGTTATGGCCCATCACCTCATATTCAACTGAGCTCAAACAAGTTATGATTACTTTTTAAGCCCCAATACATTTTTCTGGCAGTCCTTTAGCATGCTTCACCATTTGATCCACCTTTACAGCCATAGGCCAAAAAAATAATCATTTGAAGCACATATGGACTACAATACTGTGCATACGGCTCAGCTAGAGCTGGGCAATAGATTATCAATTAATTCAAATTCATGGTTTAGAATAATGTTTAAAAATTATTCATTTAACGTGGGTAATTAGGTACAGCACTGCCGCATGTTCTGAGCCACAGGTAAAACAAACATGGCAGCATGCACTATTACAAGTTACTACTTTAATCCACACCTGAAACAGACGTGTAGCTGGGAGAAGTATGTGGCAACCCTAACACCTGCTAAAAAGCAGGCGACATTAGTGTGTATGCGTGATGCACAATAATTGAATCTGGTTTAAATATTTCTCTTCGGGGATATAATAGCTCCAAGTCATAAACTATATTAATAACTATAATTTGGCAAAACAAAAAAGTCAGATGTGATGCAGTTTGACTGACCTCCCAGTACTGAGGAACTACTGGAGAGGAAGTTTGAAGAAAACAGTTTGTCCATCAGATTGATTGCAAAACCGGTTAAGCCTGTGGCTCTCAACTGAACTAAATGAAACCTTGCAATGTGATTCATGTTAACAGCAACTACAAAACTACTCAGGGTGACATGAAAAGCAGCCAGCTACTTAACGGTTTCTTAAATGTTTGACTGCCAGTAAACGGAGCACAATACTTTGAGATTTTCGATACAACATTGTCAGATTTGTTGAAATTAAGCAAATATTTCCATTGGTTTATTAGGCAAAATCGCCAGAAACAAACTTTTTAAAGTACAATTCTCTGCAGGTTTTGCCCACACTGTTTGTGTAATGTGACATTAGCCTACCTGCTGAGCCAACTCCCTGGTGGGAGCCAAGACCAGAGCCTGGGTGCTTTTCGCCTCCACATCAATCTGCTGAAGGATGGAAATGGCGAAGGTGGCAGTCTTCCCAGTGCCAGACTGGGCCTGAGCGATCACATCATATCCTAAAGACAAAAACAGTAGTAAAAAGATTAAACAGGAATATAAAACTGCCTTGATCCGTCCCCTCACTTGATTAACTGCAAGATGGTGATGGTTTTATCAACCCAAGGTGCTCAGGTGATTTCCTCAGCCCAGTATACATTGACAATAAATACCAGACGGTGTGAGTTGGCACAGATTAGAGCAAACAAATCCCACCCCAAGGTTCAGCAAGCATGTGACCCTTGGATTAATCAGTTTAACATCAACCATCACAGTGAAACGGTTTTACTGACCATCGTTTCCCCCAAATATTCAGTAAAATGTGTTATCAGGACTTCAGCATTCATGCTTTTCTAGTCAACGATCTCTGATTGTGTTGCATTGTAAACAACCAATCTGTGTTTAAATTGACAGGAGAGCAAAGGTCTACATTAAGAAACAAACATAATATAACATAACAACATGGATCATCAATGATCTGCAATTAGTATTGGCGGCAAAAAAAGAAGAAGTCATATTTGCTCCCTTCTTATCGTTTGATAAATATCAGTGTCAGTTAGGACAGTGGGTCATAATGCCTGTGTTTCAGTGTACATTTTATTTTGAAATTAAAATAAGGTTGCTTGCTTTTATTCAGGCAACTGGCAGCTTATTTTTGTATAACTTGATCTGGTTATTCTTTGACTCACTGAGAAATACAAAAAAAACTTCGGTAAAACGGCTTTTTAAGTGAGAGTTTCGCAAGAATAAATGCAGTGTTACACAGTTAACTCAAGGAGTGAATACAATATTTGTCATTATTGTAGGTACGGTGTGTTTAGGAAAGAAGCTGCGATGATGAAGTCTCCAGTGAGAAGCCTTACTTACCCTTGATACAAGGCATAATGGCTCTCTGCTGGATAGCAGAGGGCTTCTCAAAACCATAGGCATAAATTCCCCTGAGCAGAGCCTCGCGCAGGGCCATCTCATCAAAACTGTCTGTGATCTCATTCCAGTTGCTCTGGAGGTGGAAAGACAAACACATGACATTGAAAGCTGTGGGCTCAAATTTGATTGTCACAACAAACTGCTCCATCACACATCTATATTTACAATTGTTCTACACCTTACAACTAGATGGGTAAAACATGTTCAGTACCACTGTTACTGTAGGGGACTCACCTCAATGATGCCATCTGGCTCCATGCCCTCCGGGCCATTGTCTCTGTGAACGAGAAGACCATAAAGTCATTGTCATTTCTTCTTCCAGACCAAAATACAATTTCCATCACCATTTCAATAATCAAAAGCTTCGGAATGCAGGTGATTAATAAAAATCCGCTTAAAGGAACATTGCCATGCTCCCCGACTCTTCGCCGAAACCAAATTACACGATACATACTTTCTCGTTATCACGTTTAATTTTGTCAGACACCTATATATTCTTCAAGTATTTCACATACTACTTCCGAAACACTGAAACCGCTTTAACTGAACTGCTATCCGTGCTTTTAAGCAAACGCCTTTTTTTACACGCGTCCGCCATTTCTACTGCACTTCACTTCTACTACATTCAAGATGGTCGTTCCTCCAGTAGGGTGCAACAGTCGGAAGCGATTCGACTGGAATAGCGGACTAGCAGATTAAAATGTCGGCTAATTGTATATAATACGACTTATGAATACTACGTCCAAAACATGGTTCTAATACTAAAATGTGGTAAGATGGTGATACTATTTTAAAAATGCTCTGCTGGCAGTGGCCCCCGGTCTGCCATAGCCACTGCTAACAGGCCCGTTTGTATGTGGCCTTTTATCAGACTTGTCCAGTCAGCGAAACACATTACCGATACGTGTACGGACACATATCACCTATTTGTTCACGGAGGTAGCATATGCTATCACGCTAGCATTCACTAACCTCTCCCAGCAGCAGTTAGCGGCCTACGCTAACGGCATTGTCCGAGCCCTAGTTAGCACTACTGCGGCCATGTGCGCCCGTCGTACAAAAAGAACAAATTGTTCAACATTTCCGCCCACATACCTCAAAGTGCCTTCCTCTGCTATATCACAGACCGCAAATTCCACCATTACAATAAAACAATTACTTTATTAACAGGCTAGGACCGACGGAAACAACATAAGAATAAAATGAAGGCCTAAAGCAAGCGCATTCACGTGCTTCCCGAGGCGCCGGTTGACATTTAATTTTCCTCGGCTCCGTTCAGCTCAAACGCCACCATTGTGCCGCCAAATTAACGGTTTAACAATTTATGGAGCAACATATAGACATTCAACGTAAAATGGCAACATGTAATGAGAGTTCGCCGTATAATTTAATGAAATGTGAAGACCTTGGTCCGAGGCAGGCTATCGACAGGCCTAACCCTTAGTAGAGCACATAAATCACAAGATGCTCCGATTAAAGTCTACTTTCACAAGATTCATCGATAACAAAGACTAACGTATCGACAAAAATGAATTACTGAAATTCTGAACCTCCGAATGCCGGTAAAACCATAAAACCTTTCCTTACCTATTATCATATTCAGCCGACATTATTCCAAAGAAAGAAACTGCGGCAGAGATCTCTTATATACGTTGACAACACACAAAAAGGCTTTCTCATTGCAACAAACCGCCGTCATTTAGCCGTAGTCCCGCCCACGGACACTAGTAATTGGTCAGTTTGTACGTCATATATAAGTAGGCGGGGCGTCGAGTCTAACGTAGTGCACGATTGACTCGCTGTTAGCATGCCAGGGGGGCGGTGTTTAACTTTTATAAGGAAACTTTACAAAGGTAACAACGCTTTTTTAACCCGCGCTACGCTGGTATTTGTTTTTAAGCCCCCCATTCTTAGTTCAGCCTTTCGTCAACGCGGAGAAAAGACCCTTCTCAACGGTAGATTTTTCTGTATTCTTCTGAACACATTTTTATACAGACCATGTCTGAATCACATTTCTTGTAGATTAGTGACACATCTCATAGCCAAGGATGTAATCTGGACAATGTGAAACAGTTTGGATCAAAGGTTTGCATGAGTTACAGTGTAGTCATCTGTAGCATATTTCATCACAATTTATGAGGGTGAAGTGCTGTATTTTATAGAACATGACCCACTTATTCCTACTGGAGCAGTTGTTCCAACTTGGATTTAATATCCTAATTAATGACAATTGAACTCACGGACGGAGCCAGGATTTCAGAAATACAGAGGTCAAAGTGTCCAAGCAAGATCTGTATATCCATGTCTATAGTTTTTAGATTTGAGTTCATGTTAATTTATATTATTGGACTATCTAGGAATAACGTGTCTGGATTTTGAAAACAGGCATAGTGCAAAGGTAGCGAAACCACACTTGGTCCTTGATTTAAAATGTCATGTAATTAAAAATTTTTTTAAAAAAAGTGTTATTAGCTAAATGTACTTTAAGTATCACAGGTACTAACATTCTGTATTTTCAAATGAATTAATGTGTAGTGTAGCATTCCACTGTTGAAGTTGGTTTAGTTGGAGCTAATTGTAATACATATATTGTTGGGTCGTTTAATTGGTAACAATGCATCATATTTTAAATGGCCATCATGTGTTTTTTTATGTAAAGTCTTCACTTGAAAAGTAGCTTGTACTTGTCAGATAAATGTTAAAAAGTACAATAAATTAAAGTGGCATGAAAATGAAATTCTTAAGTGTATATTTAAGAACAGCGAATAAATGTTCGATGGATAACATGTAGATCATGTCAGCCCGTCCAGTTGCATTAATCAAACGCACAATCCCTTGTTTGCCGCATATTTTTATTTTCAGCAGCCATAATGCATTGTAGAAGATATATAAAACTGTCAAGTCTGTTGCATCAACTCCTGTTTTGGGAAGAAAAAAAAAAAAAAGAAAAAAAAAACACACACACACAGCTCAAATTTGTTTTTTGTTATAAAAAAAAAAGAAAAAAAAGAAAAGGAGGGTGCTGTAACTCCGTTGTGACCGTACTGCATCTGTCCTGGTCCTCGCCAAAATGGCTCTCAAACTTCCAAAGAAATACCAACAACAGGATCTCTTTTGTACTTTCCTGAAAATAACACAAATTAGTAGTCCTCCTTTTAACATCTTTTGTTTAAAGCAAGAAGCATATCAACACGTTTACTGACGAGATAAAACAGGAAAAAAAGATAAATGCAATGTAAAGATACCCCTTTCTTTGGGCCAATGTGTCATTCTAGCTGGTTTGGGCAGATGCAGATCCAGTCTCCCACATGAAGGCGTGTTATTTGGGGACAAGTGATGGAGGCAGACGGCCAATACGTGGCATGTCCCATGGATGTAAATTCATTTTTCCCTTAAAAAAAAAAACAAAGGGAAAATGCACTAGAATGGCTCTTCACACTCCGGATGAGTTTTCTGATGTCAATATGGCAGCACGTTAAGTTCCACTCTCACTTTAAATCCATCCAAACATCTTGTAGGAAATTGTTAAACGAATATCATACATTGGAAATCTCACTAAAGTGGCAAACATTATGTGCTGACTAGACAGATGGACTCGTCGACATGACACATGACATTGGCCGTAGCATGGGGCAGTGTATTTTATGTTTCTTTTGCTTTGAGTTTCAAACTTGGAACACAACACAATGGATTGGATGGAAGGCGTGTACATCCGCTGGTACTATTTAACCACAAGCTTACGCAGACTGGTTCAATTCATTCGGCTGGGAAAATAGTAGTCAGGTTGGACCGACTGTGGTCCAAAGTCTTCATCTGGACCGTATCCTTCAGACGTCTTCATGCTCAAGGTGGACTACGATAGGATGGAAGGTAAGCACGTTCCCAAAACGGAAGCTAGTCTTGGCCTCTGTCAACCACAAAGGAATAACCATGACATGGAAATGAAATCAAGAGTTCTCAAAAAGGGTGGAGAGGGAAGCGGAGAGAGAGGAAAAAAAGTGAAACAATGACATCACCTACAATAGAAGAAGTCGTTTCTCTGGATGTTTGCAGAGAAGAAAAAAAAAAGTTTTTTCAATGAAAAGTTTCTCTCTCTGTGTGTCTTTTTTTCCCCCAGTCAATCGTTTGCTCCACTTGCCCTCTTCTTGTCATATCATTGTCCCTCCATCTTGTTAGGGTTGGGGGTGGGAGCAGGTGGAGATGGCGGGCGGGGCTGGGGGGGTGGTGGGTCACAGGGTGAGCTTGCAGTGACAGAGTTCTTTGTACATTTGCCTCCTCAGCCGCGGCATATCCTGCTGGCCAAAGATGAAGGGCTGACCTAGGGCCAGACACTTGCAGTACTGCAGGGCGGAGGAGGGAGGGTAAAAAAGAAAGAAAAAATAAGTTATTGGCACGCAGGAGGAGCAGAGTCACGACAACACAAGTCAGTAGGCGTGTGTTCCTACGATGCTAAGTGTTTGTATAAACAGCATCAACACTGAGGGCTCAGAAAACTGACCGTTGGACAAAATGACGACAATACAGAGAAAGTAAACCAAGCTGCACATTTGGAGAAACCCACCTGTAGCACAAAAGCCCCGCAGTCGCTGTCGTTGTTCTGACGACCCACATTCTGCAACAAGCACACGACACATTAGCCATATGCAGTTGACATGCAAAACAGAGCCATGGTCATGTTGCAGCAGCAACGATAACAACCCACTTTTGGGAAATGAGTCACCTAATTCTGTGTCAAAGTCACAAACATTTAAAATAAAACAAGCAAACAAAAGCATCTCACCATTTTGAAAAAGCCCTTCCATCCCGTCAAAAAGTCTTGCTGCTCTTTTTTGATGGCCTCCGCTTGCAGATACTTAAAAATGTGCTGAAAACAAGTGATTCTATCAAACTAGATTTATAACAGTGACACAAAAAGAAACTTGTGATTTGATGATAAAAACACTTTCATAACATCTAAATACGAGGCCCAAATATGATCATAAATAATGACAACTAAACCAATTAGATTGAAGAGCACTCCAATGTCATATATTAGAGTTGAAATTTTATTTAGTTATATATATATATATATATATATAT